AAAAAAAATTATTATTTTTATTTTCTGTGTATGCCTGCATGTATGTAAGTGCAGCCATGTCATGCAATGCTGGAGGAGATTGGAAGAAGGCTTTTGAATTTCACTGGAACTGGAGTTACATATGGTTGTTAGCTGCCATGTGGGTGCCAGGAATCAAACCTGGGTCCTCTGTAAGAGCAGCCGGTGCTCTTAGCCACTGAGCCATCTCTCCACCCCCGAAGTAGGCATTCTAAGTGGAGGAAGTCATTTATGCAAGTGCCTGGAGGAATGGGGGCACAGCTATGGTGAACTCTTCCTGTCTGTCCAGCCATGCCATTCCTGTTCAGCCCTGTACATAGCCATTCACAGGCTGGTGGGCGTGGGATAGCTGTTCCCTGTACTTCAGTCCACAGGTATAACCCTGGCTTGGGCTTTCCAGCAAGAAGGGAGGTCAGGAATCCACCATGGTCCAGGCGGGCTCTGGCAAGAGTGGGGTAGGGAGTGGGGTAGCCGGAGGAGTGGGAACAGCAGGTGTGAACAGGAGGGTAGGTCAATACCTCTTGAGCAGAAAGGACATAAGTCAGGACAGCTGTAAGGAATTGAGGGCCCAAACACAGGGATGGATGACTGGGAAGGCCCTGACAGGTGGGAGAAGGCTAGGCAGACTGAGCCATGGAAAGCGGGCAGGGCAGCCTGTGGTGGTGGTGCCAGCTTTATTGTCCTGGTCAGAACCTTGCTTGGGAGGTATTATTCATGTCACATATTATCCATATCGGGTGGCAGGTCCACGCTGGAGCAGAGGACACACTCCAGGGAGTTCACAGAACTGGCCTGGCAGGAGACCAAGAACGCAAGGAGAAGGGCTTGGGGTGAAATGTGCCATCTGCCCTTGTTGGTGACATAGCTGCCACATGGTGGGCCCATGGAGAGGAGTCCCAGAGCAAGGGTCACCAGTGCCCAGCACCAGGCCCAGTGTGTCCCTTGGGTGGGGCCTCTTTTGCAGATTTGCCTTTGTGGAGACTGGCAACAGCAGGGATGGGGTGCCATGACTCTAGGCATCAGGTCAGGCTCAACGGGGTGCGGGGCAGCTCCAACGGCCTGCAAGGCTCCTGCGCTGGAACGGACTGTCAGCATAGAGCGGGTGGGGCCGAGCTGGACCCGAGCACCGCTGGATCAGGCGTAAGAGGCGGGGGCTCCGCGGTCGGCCCTGCGCCCGAGCAAGCAGCGCCACCTGCTGTGCGGACACGTGCGCCGCCGAGGACACCGCAGCTTCGGGATCACCCTGCAGCTGCCCCAGGTCTGCGTGGAAGGATGGCTCAGGCTGGGTGGGAGGGGCGCTCAGGCCCCGTCCCCTCCTGTCCTGTCCCCTCCTCTCCAGTACCCCACCCTATGGCAGATCCGGCCCTCACCCTGATACAGAGAGTCCAGCAGATCCTGACTGACTCCACCCGGGCTCACATGATAGACCAGGAAGCCTGGACCAAAGCAAATGGGTGAACTCTGGCCCCATGCTGGAATTGGCTGGTCCAGCTTGCAGAGTCCTAGTAGGGAAAGACTACCTCACCTATGAGCACAGTGGCCGCCCGGCGTAAGGTGTCCTGTGGGCTCCGCAGGTAGCCCTGGGTCTGACTCAGAAAGCGAGGAATATGGCTTGGATATCGCTGAACCTGGGAACAGAAGCGCTCATGGCAGGACAGAAGACGCAACCCTGCGTGGAGAAGAGACTGTGCACCTGCCTAACAGCGGCTCAGGTCAAGCGGAGACCCCATTTTGTAGGAACTGTCCTGGAGAATCCCGGAACAAGGGAGTAGCTGTGACCATACCCCCTCCCTGTCACAGAGTTTCCTCTACTAACCAGGCGGTGGCAGACGCGGCTTAGAGCCTCAGGGCTGTCATAGTGGGCCACGGTAACCATCTCCTCTAGCAGGCCCCAGCGAAGGGCCTGGTCACAGCGGGCTAGAGTCCACTCTGAGCTCTGGCATAGAGGAGGCAAGTAGAGTTAGGGGACCATGAAATGGCAAATTGGTGAGGAAGGGACTGTGTCCAGGAAAGGTTGGTAGAGACCAGGGAAAGGGGCTTGAGGACAGAGGCCCAAGGGAAGACCTGAGAGTCATGAGCTCCTTGTTTGTCTTGAAACTTTTGGAGAGGCCACAAAGGCGGGAATGGACGTACTGGATGATTCAGATAAGGGACAGGCACTGACTGACCTCGGCAGCATCCTGGCTGGGGTCATGTAGGCGCAGCAGCAGCGGCACCAGACTCTGCAGCACCAATTTCCGCAGGGGTCCGCGGAGCCCCAGGCGGAGCCCTCCCCGGCCCCGCCGCACCAGCGTTCCAAGAAGCCCGACTGCCGAGGCGCGGACCGAGTCCCGGACCTTCGAAGGAAAATACAATCAGAACCCACCGAGAGGTAAAAGGATGGAAGAGGAGGTTGGCACGGCACGGAGCAAGGTTGGAGAGAGCCTGCCTGGGGAGGGCTACAGACTTGGTGGGCCACTCCGGGGAGACCCTGGGGGTGGGGCTGCGCTTCTGCAGACAGCTCCCGAGGGGTGTACCATCCGGCCGGAGAGGGTGTCACTCACGTCGTCTAGCAGTGGCGGGAGGCGTGGCCGCAGCTCAGCGCTCAGGAGCCGCACTGGTGCTCCGGGCTGCATCAGTACCCTGCGCAGAGCGCCTAGGGCCGCACCTACGAGCCGCGCATCGCCTTCGCCCAGCGCTCCCAGGAGTGCAGGCAGCAGCATGCTCACGTGCCGTACCTGAGAAGACAGGACGAGTGGCCAGACCCTTGCAGACTCCGCCCAGGACGACCCTCCAGGTCCGGCACCCCCTGGTCCGCACCTTCCCACGACTCAGAGCAAGGTGTCCGAGGCCGAGCAGACCCAGCCAGCGCACGGTGGGCTCAGGGTCTCCCTGCCAAGTGCAGAGCCGCTGCAGGATGGCCTCCTCGCGGAGTAGCCGTGCAGTGGGCTGGCTCTGCAACAACTAGGCAAGAACACCGAGTCAGGGCATCCGAGTCCCGGTGCAGGCTGGGGCTGCTTAGGATCCAAGCAGACAGTCACCCCTCACCACCCTGGTGGGAACCATGCTCACCCCAGTGAAGAAGGCCATAGCTGTGAGGCGCTGCGGGTCATCCTCACTGCGTAGCCGAGGAAGCAAGTCTGCGAAAAGGCCTCGAAGATGGTGGTCAGCATGTGCCACCATGGCACTGGAGTGGGGCAAATAGGTGCTCTTCCTTCACTTGGAGGGGCTCACCCTTGAGGAAGTGCCCACCCCTCCTCCCTCATGCCTGGGCCTCAAACCTGGCCAGCAGGAAGCCTCCTCCTGTTGCGATGTCTTGGGGCTCCTCCTCACCTGGCCAGCAGCAGGACACCCTCCAGGTGGGTGTGGGCTCCTACCAGTCTCCTCCAGCCTCCTGCCTGTTCCATGCATGTGACCACCATGCGGCTGCCATCCCCTGTGAGGAGGGCCTTCAAGGCCTCCACCGTACAGCTGGAGATGGGAGCCATAGGGCAGACAGGGTCAAGGAAGGCCTGACCTAACTCTCGCTTACCCAGGTGTCCTCTCTCACCTTGCATGGCTGTGCGGTGGCCCTCGGTGAGTGGGCCAAACCTTAGGGCTGTCAGGGGATCGAGCACCTTGAGCCAGCTCGTGTAGCTGAGTGACCAGAGCTAGCAGTAGGTGGGGGTAGAATCCTCGGGTGGCTCCCACACATCCAGACACTGCCAACATCTCCCCGAGAGCACGTGTGGCCTGCAGACCAAGTGAGCCCACTCGCTCTTTGAGCTGTGCCAGCCTTGAATGTGCCCATGATGTCTTGCATAAGTGTGACCCAGGAGCTAATCTGTAGTCCCACCAAGGCAGCAGTGCATCTTTCTTAGTAGAGAATGGGGGAAGGGATGGGGAGATGGCCACGCCCCAGGTAGAGCTAGCTGGAGCCACTTACCGCCAGCGCCTCAGGCTCAGGCCCAGTTGAACCTTCCAACGCCCACAGCAGTTGCACCAACACCTGCCCATTTACTCGCTGGTTCCGGCTTAGGCTTCGCCACAGCTCGGCTACCACCCTGGGGGGGG